TGATCAAGATATCTCAAATGAAATGCTTGAGAATAGAGTGAAGCTTATTACATCTATTATTCTAACAAGTGTTAGAGATAATATTTCAAAAAGAAAATCTTCTGAGTATTCAAAACCTTGGTGGAATGAGAATATCTCATCTAAAAGAAAAGAATTAGCTACTGCTAGAAGAGATTGGAAGAATGATGTAATATCTGATGAAGAGTTCAAAGCTGTCAGAAATGAATATTTTTCAGGTATTAAAAGAGCTAAAACAGACTGCTGGAATAAATTTCTTGAAGAAGCACAAGGGAAGGAAGTTTTTAAAGCTTTTAACTATACTAAAACAAGAAGTGTAGCAAAACTTCCAGCTCTAGAATATGAGTTTCAGAATGAATCATATACAGCAAACTCTTTTGAGGAAAAATGTCAAGCTTTCATGAGAATTCTCTTTCAGAACTCACCAGATTCAGATTCAGATTCAGAGGAAGAGAATATATCACTTCTCAACTACATTGATGAAAATGACTGGGAATGGCCTGATCTTACACAAGATGAATTAGAGTCAGCTATCTTCTCAAGTTCTGTTAAAACTGCTGCAGGTCCTGATTCAATTAATCACTTGATTATTCAAAATACATATTCCTACTTAAAGAATGAATATTTTGAGCTCTTTTTCAATCTCTTGAAAAATGGATATCATTCTGAATGCTGGAGAGAAGCCACTGGAGTGATTCTTGCAAAACCTAATAGAAAAACTTCAATTCCTAAGTCATATAGAGTAATATCTCTATTGAACTGCCTAGGAAAGGTTTTAGAAAAGATAATAGCTACTTGACTATCTTTTATAAGCTCTATAGGTGATTCTCTTTTATTCAGTGAACAAATGAGAGGTAGAAAACAGTGTTCTGCAATTGACACTGTTCTCTCAGTTGTTCATGATATTCAAATAGCAAAGCATGAGGGTCTGGTCTCAACTGCAGTTTTTATTGATATAAAAGGAGCATTTGATCATGTTTCAAAGTCAAAGTTAATTCAGACATTGAAGATATTAAAACTGCCACTTTCTCTAATAAAATGGGTTAACTGTTTTATGTCTAAAAGAATTATACAACTCTTCTTTGATGGAATGAAACAAGACAAGACTGAGATAAAAATAGGAGTACCACAGGGGTCTCCAATCTCACCTATTTTATTTGCAATATACACTGCATATCTATTCAAAAATAGAAATATGAGAATAGTGCGATCTCTGAGTTATGTGGATGATATTGGTCTAGTCTACAGCTTAAAAACTATCAAAGAGAATTTGAAAGTAATTGAAGAAGCTGCAAAGGAAATCTTTGTTAGAGCAGATATCAATCAAATTCAATTTGATATGGATAAAACTGAGTTAATTCATTTCTTTCCTAGATTCAATGAGAAAGAACTATCTCTAACTCTTTTAAATAGAGAGATTAAACCCAGTGTAAATGTCAAATGGTTAGGAGTATGGTTAAACTCCAAGTTGAATTTTAAATATCACATTCAACAAAGAACTGTCAAGGCAGAAAGACTATTGAACAACATAATCAGACTATCAAATACAGAGAGGGGTCTATCCTTCCAGGCTATGAGACAGTTATATATAGCCTGTATTACATCAGTAGCTGATTATGGAGTTCAAGTTTGATGGAATAATCAAGGGAATTTCACTGAACTCTTTCAAAGTCTGCAAAACAGAGCCTTGAGAAGAATTCTGGGAGCATTCAAATCATCTCCTATTAAAGCAATGGAAATTGAAGCTTCAATTCCTCCTCCTGCTATTAGATTTGAAAAGGCTTGTATGAACTATGCTCTGAGAGTTGTAAAGATGAGCTCAAATTATATAATCAGAGAAAGAGTCTCTTCTTCATTTCCATCAATTAACTCTGGAAATGAACTGGATTGGAATAGATTTCTTGATTGGAATGAAAATAATTCTTCAAAGAAAATGCCTTCTCAACTGTACAGACTATGCTCTCTGATTAAAAATCAATTTTCTTCTTTAAATGTTGAAAAAGTTGATCATGAGAAGTTATCTCCCTGGAGAAAAAAGCTTGAATCTCTTATAGACTTACAAATAAGTGAACTATCAAAAGAGAAAGAATATGAACAGCATTTGAAGAGAATTTCTACAATCAATATAAAAGACTCTATTCTGATTTATTCAGATGGCTCAAAAAATGAGAACTTGAATAGATTAGGCGCAGGCATTGCTTATACTGAAGATAATATTAATTTTATCTCAGATTTCTGGAATCTAGGCTCTGAATGTGAAGTCTTTGATGCTGAACTATTTGCAATAGTGAAAGCTTTCAAACTCATTGAAATAAAATCTCATAAAAGAGGAAATTGTTTGAAAGAGGCATGGATATTCTCTGATAGTCAAGCTGCTTTAAAAAGACTTAGAAATAGTCAGATTCATAATAGTCAAATGAATCTTGAACTGATCTTAAACTCTGTTTTAAAAATTCAAAAGAGAAGAACATCAAAGCTGAGAATTCATCTGCACTGGGTTCCTGCTCATATGAATATTCATGGCAATGAATTGGCTGATTCAGCTGCAAAAAAGGGTGCAGAATTAAGCAGATCTATTCAAAAAATTGTGTCCTGGTCTTTTATAAAGAGAAAAATAAAAGAATCTTGTTTAGACAAGTGGAATGAAAGCTGGCAGAAACAAAAGAAGAGTATACATTATTCAAGATTTGAAATAAAACCCAAGTGGAAATCTTGTTCAATTAAATGTAAAAAGAAAATATTCTCATCTATAATACAGCTGAAACTAGGACATGGCTATTTCAAATCTTATATACAAAGATTTGATGATAGATTTGACTCAATAGAATGCTCATTCTGTAATACAAATGAGAACCCTGAGCATATTATAATGCACTGTGCATTATACAATAGTCTCAGAGCCAGATTGAAAGAGAAGTATGATCTAAATCAATTAAATATGAGATTCTTATTCTCAACTGAGACAGGAATTAAATACTTAATAGACTTTCTATCAGAAACTCAAGCAGCTACAAGAAAATGGCTAAATTCAGAATTATCTGAATATGAAGAGGAGGAAATCAATCAGATATAGTCTGTTAAAACAGCTATACACTCTCTTTTAATAATTTGTTTTGTTATAGTCTCTCTTTACTTTATCTTTTTCTGTATCTTTTCCTTTCAATTTCTTTCTATCTATCTATTTAATGTGTCTATCTTTGAGACTGTGTTCTTTCTCTCTTTTCTTTTGTCATGATATTGTCAAATGGTTTCAAAGTATTAAAAGATGTTAAAACACTGCAATTTGTAAACAGTTTTTGTATTCTGGGCTGGAATTTTCTGATTTTGCATATCTGAAATTGATGAATGTACAATAGTTAACTTTACAGACATAGAAAAAACCCTGAGAACTAAAGTTCTCAGGTAGATGTCATAGTCTCTGACTGCATACATCTATAATTGAAGAATAATAATAATAATAATAATAATCATATACAGCAAACTCTTTTGAGGAAAAATGTCAAGCTTTTATGAGAACTCTCTTTCAAAACTCATCAGATTCAGATTCAGAGGAAGAGAATATATCATGTCTCAACTATATTGATGAAAATGACTGGGAATGGCCTGATCTTACTCAAGATAAACTAGAGTCAGCTATCTTCTCAAGTTCAGTTAAGACTGCTGCAGGGCCTGATTCAATTAATCACTTAATTATTCAAAATACATACTCCTACTTAAAGAATGAATATTTTAAGCTCTTTTTCAATCTCTTGAAAAATGAATATCATTCTGAATGCTGGAGAGAAGCCACTGAAGTGATTCTTGCAAAACCTAATAGAACAACTTCAATTTCTAAGTCATATAGAGTAATATCTCTATTGAACTGCCTAGAAAAGTGTAAGAATAAGTGCTCGCAGGCGATTATTCGGGTGTTTGCAGCTTGGCGTGATATGTACTGTTAACTACTAGAAGTGTTCGCAGTAGAAAGATAAATGTAGAGATCAAATGTATAATAGCATTCAAGCTGAGTTGTGAATAGTATTTACAAACTCCAGTCTATATAGTTATGTGTAGCCAAGGGCCGCTAGCCCTATTGATTATGTGAGAGATAGGAATAGGGGTAAAGAATTCATGAGAAGCAGGATTTCTTACATACTTCCCTCTCTCTAAGGCTTTGTCCGCGAAGCCTTTCACTGAGTGACTTCATAGTCAGCTCAGCACTGCAGTGATACTCACTAAAAATCCTTCACATCTATAAAAAACCTCAGTGAGGAAAAATCCCTTGTTATCATGAAGAGAAAAGAGTCTGTCACTCAGTTCCTTGTTTCATAAGATTCTTTGTAATCTACAGATTCTTCTCTGACTATCACACAGATTCATCTCACACCTTTCATACAGAAGAGTTTCAGTTAACTCTCAATCATTTTCATAAGATTCTTGTGTGATCATCACACAGATTCATCTCACAGATAAATCACTCTCTGTGAGATCACTCTTATCAAAGAGAAATATTTATGAGTTGATCTTTCATTCATTCTCACAAATCATTGCTCTTTGACACTGTAGAATTGTGAGAAATTTTTCATTCTTTCATCAACTCTGTAGAATTGTAGAATCAAGATATCTGCAGTCTGCAATCACTCTTTGTAGTTATATAGAAAGATTCAGGCCTGCAATTCACAATCACTCTTATTTGCTAGAGTGATCTGACTGTTTCATGAGATCACTCACAGTGTAAGCAAACCTCTCTAGAGTAGTATAAATATCTCAGATCTGTCTGTAGAATCTCATCTTCTTTTCTCTTTTTCTGTAACAGCTCTCATCTTCACAAACTGTGAGTATTCTCATTCATTTACAAAGTGTTTTCACTCAGATGACAGAGAGAGAGTGTTCCTGACAGTGTTCATATATTGATTCAAGAACTTCTCAAGAATAAAAATTTTTTCAATTTCAATCTCTTCACAAACAATGTCTGGTTACTGCTGAGCTTCTTGTGAGCATTCTCACAACTTCTCTGATTGCTTTTTGCTGGCTGGTGAAGCAGGGGTGCTGCTGCTCATGACTGCATCTTCATCCCTCTCAGCCCTGCCACTGCATTCAATCTTCAGGTCAGCGGCCAATCCCCTGCCTTCTTCAGACCAGCCTCTGGCTTCAAGCAGTGCAGTTCCTCTCTTTGCTGTAAGTCTTCTCACAAGTAATTTCTTACAGACTCTAGCTGACAGTTCTTGTAAAGCTTCTGATGTTGCCAGTGTCTTCTGCAGCCTCGCGGGCCTACAACCACCTCTCTTCTGCCTGCACAATCTCTGACCAGGCATATGCAAATATGTCTAGGTTTTCTATCAATGATCCTCACACTGCAGCGCATTTCCACAATCCCATTACTAATGAAAGATGAGTCCCTGAGTACCTGCAAAATCCGGGTAATCAAGACAATGTGAATGTTATGAATTTGTGATGAGAGTTGACCTGAACAGATGAGCTCTCTCTCTGTGTCCTCATTGTTTCCAGGCTGAATACTTCAGCATAACTGAAAGAGTGAACACAGCTTCATGAGAAGTATCTGATCACATGCACAGATGACCAGTCTTCAAGACTCTGCTGCAACTGTGCATGCTCTGATGTCTGACTTCTCTGAAGTCTGTGCATTTCTGACAGTCTTCATGTCAAATGTAATAATTGTCTGTATCATGAGCATGATGCTCTCTGCTTCTTTGAAGAGAGAAATTGATAGTTGTGAGAGAATTGAGTGTTGTGAATATTGATAATGTGAGTGTGAGTTTTCTTTGTTTTTTCTTTGTTGATCTCTAAATTGCATTCACAGTCCTGTTTGTTTTCTTGTTTTTTAGCTTTAATGAGAATATGTTTTCTTCTTTTCTTGTGTACACTGCAGACTGTTCATCCCAGTAGAAATTCATTATCTTATAGACTAGAGTTCACAAATGACAGTGTTAATATCTTTATCACAATCAGATTCTTAGCAAAGACTGCATCATTCTAGCTTATTAGAATTCACAGCATGAAAGTCATGTCTCAGCTTCTGCAGATGTCTTATCTGCCCAGATGATTCTCAAGTGAACTCATTCATCTTGTCAGAATACTCTTGTCACTGAATCTTGAATCAGAGCTCACAATCTCACTTCTCTGAGTCAATAATTTCTTTGATCTGATATTCTCTTTCACTCTCTAGTGCTTCATGAACAGGGTGATGAGTCACAGAGTTCTCTTCTAAGAATTCCTTGTATTTACAGAGCAAAGAGACATGAAAAATATTGTGCATCTGCAACTCAGATGACAGTTTCAATCTATAGAACTGCAGACTAACTTTCTTCATAATCTTACAAGGCTCTGTCTGCAAGAGATTCAGCTTCTTACTAGATCTCTGTATGATGATGTTTTCTAGACTCAGTCAGACTCTATCATCTTTCTTGAAACTCTTTGCAATATGCTTGAAGTCATAGTATCTCTTCTGATACTCTTGAGCCTTTCTCAAGAATTTGTGAGCTTTCTCCTGAATCTCCTGAATTCTCTCAGCCTGTTCATGAGCATCATCACACTCTATAGTGTACTCTCACAGGTTCATCAAGATCATTCACAGATGAGTCTCAGTGAGCATCTTAAAGAGGATTTTACCTGTGCTGACATACTTTGAGTTGTTGTACATGAACTCTGTGAGTGATAATCAATGCACTCAGTTATTCTGATTGTAATTGATAAAGCACTGCAGATACTGTTTCAATATACTTATCAGGCATTCTGTCTGATCATCTGTCTGTTGATGAAAAGTCATGCTTAGATCTTGTGAGATCTTCAGTATAGTCATCAGATCAGATCAGAACTCTTCTGCAAAGATTGATTCTCTGTCTGAGACAATGTTTGCAGACAACTCATGCAACCGGATCACATTGCAGATGAAGATGTGAGTCAAATCCTTTGACTTCAAGTTCTTGTGAGTGGGTATAAAGTGTGTCATCTTGATGAAGTGATTCACTATCACCAGCACACTGTCAAAGCAGGCATCATATATGTCCTTGCTTTCAGAGAGGCTCACAAGAGTATTCATTTCTAGCTGTTCTCAAGGTTTCTGCAGAATGAATAGAGGAGTAAGTTCTTCATATGATCTGAACTGCACTACTCACAAATCCTGATAAACAGTATAAGAATTCACTATCTTCTTCACAAGTTCTCACATCTTCAGTCAGAAGTATTTCCTTGTGAGCAACTCATGAGTTCTAGTATCTGTAAAATGACTCACTAGAGAAGAGTCATGATGCCTTTTAATGAGTTCTACATGTAGAAACTCATTCATAGGCATATAAATCCAGCCCTCTCTTTGCAAGAGGTTATTTAAGTCTCTTCAATTCTTTGTTTCTGCAGGGTTGATCTCTGTCATGAGCAGTTTTCAAATATGTTGAGTATATTCATTCTTCAGTTGCAGTTCAGACAATCTGAATAGAAGATTTTATAAAGACTTATGCTCTGTTTTCTCTTACATCAGATCTTTCACAGTGCTTCTCAAAGCCTGCAAACTCTTCAGATTATAGATACTCTCTTCAAGAATTCTTACAGAGATTCTCAGAGTGTTGACTCTCAGTATTGTAGAGAGTAGTTGTACAGGCTTCTTTTCTCTCTTCTCTCTCTTCTCTCACAGGGGATTGAGAGACTCTTCAGTCAATCTCTTTGTAACACTCAGTCTGAGCATTTCATGAAGCTTTTCTGTCTTCTCTAGTCTCTCTGTGTCTGTCATCCTGGCCTTCTTAACATAGTCTGATCTGCAAGAGAGTTCATTCACTGAGTTCTTAGTTCTCTTAATATATTCTATCTTGAACCAGAACTCACTCAGTCTCTGAGCTCAGTGAACCTGCTGCTGTGAGAGTTCCTTGATTGAAGCAAACTGTCATAAGCTGTTATGATCAGTTCTAACAGTAATCACTGTTACAAGGCCCTCAAAGTAGTGACATCAGTGACAGAAGAATTTCACTATTATAAGAAGCTTCTGATCATGAATGTCATAGTTGATCTTCACAGGTTGCATCTTTCATGAGAAAAAGGCCACTGAAACTCAGTTCTCATTTGACTGTAGTTGCAAGACTATTTCTGAAATCACAAAGAAGAAGACATCTGTCTTCAATCTGATTAAAAGCAAGAGATCAAAGTGAAACAGCATCACTGTATCTGTAAATATCTGTTTCAACCTTGCAAAGACCCTGTGAGCTTCTGAGATAAGAAAGTCCTCACAGTTCTCTCTTCTCAATAACCTTTTCATCCTCTGTTTACAGAATGACTTCTTCTTGTTTCCACTCTTCAGCATGTCTGTAAGGGTCAAGAAGATTCTCATGAATACAAAGATAAATCATCTATAGAAATTCACAAAGCTCAGAAAGATCTGAATCTCATGAATACTAGTTAACTTCAGTCATGATAGAATAGTCTCAATCTGTGAAGGTTTCATCTGAATATCATCTGCAGTGATTACATATTCTAGGAAATTAATTCAGCAGGCACTGAAGTTGCACTTTGTGAGCTTAATATACAGTCCTGCCTCATCTAAGACCTTCAACACACTTCACACATGCTCAGTGTGTTCTTTCTCCTTCACAGAGTACACTATCACATCATTCAGATATATTATCACAAAGACATTCAGATATACATGAAGTGTTTTATTGATAAAAGACTGGAATACTGCAGGGGCATTAGTCAGATCAAAAGACATCACTAGATATTCAAACAGTCTCAGTGCAGTTCTAAAGACAGTCTTTCATTCATTCTCAGACTGTATTTGCAGCTGTGCATATACATTGATCACATTCAGTTGTGTGAATATGACAGCTTCTGTGAGACAGTTGATCACATTCTCAATCAGAGACAGAGAATAGCAGCTCTTTATTATCTTGAAGTTCAGGTCATGATAGTCTACACACAATCTGAGATCTTCATTCTTCTTCTTCATGAATATCACAGAGACTCCTGCAGAGGCCTGTGAAGGTCAGATGAAGTCATTCTTCAGATTCTTCTTTACATAGGTCTGCAAGACCTCTGTCTCATGATGAGAGAGCTTATAGATTGATTCTCAGAAGGGTTTCTGCTCTTCTATCAAATCTATTACCAGATTCTTCTCATGATGAGAAGAAAGCTCAGCTGCCTTAACTGAGCTGAATATCTCTGTGAGATCTCAGTATTTCTCTGATATCTGAAGCTCAGTTTTCATGACTGCAAGATTCTCAGACACTCACAAAGTCATCACATAGATGAGCTTGTCTTCTCTAATCAACTCTGCAGCATTAACTGCTTCTATCTCTGTGAGTGAGTCTGTCAACACTGATCAGAAGTATAAACCTGACTCACAGACAGCTATGTGTGAATTGTGTCTTTGAAGTCATGTAAGTCTCAAATACATATCATCTGTGATGTCTGCAATAATCATAGTTTCTGTAAATCTTCTCCAGATTTCAGAGAGATCTTGCAATTCAAAGATGATTCTCACAAGTCTCTCAGCTCTCAGATCTGAGTTCTCATATTCTGCTTGTTACAAGAGCAGGTTCCCAGTCTTCATCTTTCAGCTCATTCACTCTGTGAGCTTTAGAGACATCACAGTGACCTGGAATCCTGAGTTCATCAATGCTTCTCATACTTGCAGAATAGCAGCACTGTGGCACAGTCTCTCCCCGCAAGCAAGCATTTTCATTGAGAGAGCAACAGATTCAGATGTCAGCTTCAAGGCTCTTAAGAAGGCTGTTGCTGACTCTGTCCATGACTTCTCAAATTCCTATTTTAGTTTGTTCAGACAGTTTGCACAGAGATGTTCTGATTTAGAACAGATAAAGCAGAGTCTCTTTTCCTTGATCTCTCTGTTATACACTCTGTTCACAGAAGCTTGTGAAGCTCTCTCTCTCTGCTCAGCAGTCAGATGTGAATCTCTCTGTATCTTATCATCTTTTTCTGATAAATCTGTCCTCTGTTGTTCTGGCCCTCATGAGGCTGATTGATGATTCACTCTCTGCAGGTCTGTGACTCTCACAGTGATCTGTAAGTGATGAATGAGAGTCATCAGTTTCTTCAGAGTCAAGAACTTAGAGTCTTGCTCAATGAGCTTGTTCTGCATGTCTTTATCCAGTCTCTTCACAAATATCATCATTCAGGTCTTGTTTCAGGGCCCTGTTTTCACAGATCTCAATTCATGCTACAATTTCATGAAGTGCTATGAGTAGTTTTCATCAGATTTCTTGCCTCTTTTTCTAATATTGATGATCACAGCTCAGGTGTTCTCTGTCTGACTCATGAAGTCTCTCAACTTATTCTCTAGATAGGTCTTGAG